AAAAGCCACCTCTAACTAAGAGTAGGCTCAGATGGTGAAAAGGAGACTGCTGAGTCCCAGTGCTGTAGATAAGCAAGTCCAATAAGGAAATCATTACAAGCTTAGCAGAAATCCCAATAGTTTTTATCATAATCATTAAATTCTGATAATTCCATGTCATACATTCTCTTGTTTTCTTCTTTCCAATTGTATTGGGCTGTTTTCACATTGCTATAAAGAAATATCCGAGCCTGGGTAATTTATAAAGAAAAGAGGTTTAATTGCCTCACGGTTCTTCTGGCTGTATAGGAAGCATAATGCTGTCATCAGCTCAGCTTCAAGGAAGGCCTCAGGAAACTTAACAATCATGGTGAAAGGTGAAGGAGAAGCAGGCACATCACATAGCTCAAGCAACAAGCAAGGGGCAGGGGAGGTGCCACACACTTTTAAACAACAAGATCTCTGAGGAACTCATTCACTATCACAAAAACAGCACCAAGAGGATGGTGCTAAACGATTCATGAGAAATCCCCCTCTATGATCCAATCACCTCCCACCAGGCCCCACCTCCAACACTGGGGATTACAATTTGACATGAGATTTGATAAGGGACACAGATCCAAACCATATCATGAAGTTTTAATTTAGGTTCATGCTACCTGACTTCAAACTATACCACAAGGCTACAATAACCAAAACAGCATGGTACTATTATCAAAACAGATATTTAGACCAATGGAACAGAACAGAGGTCTCAGAAATAACACCACACATCTACAACCATCTGATCTTTGACAAATCTGACAAAAAGAAGCAATGGGGAAAGGTTTTCCTATTTAATAAATGGTGTTGTGAAAACTGGATAGCTATATACAGAAAACTGAAACTGGACCCCTTCCTTACACCTTATACAAAATTTAATTCAATATGAATTAAAGACTTAAATGTAAGACCTAAATCCATAAAAACCCTAGAAGAAAACATAGGTAATACCATTCAATACATAGGCATGGGCAAAGACTTCATGATTAAAACACCAAAAGCAATTGTAACAAAAGCCGAGATTAACAAATAGAATCTAATTAAAGTAAAGAGCTTCTGCACAGAAAAAGAAACTATCATCAGAGTGAACAGGCAAAGTACAGAATGGGAGAAAATATTTGTGGTCTATCTGACAAAGGACTAATATCCAGAATCTACAAGAAACTTAAACAAATTTACAAGAAAAAAACAACCTCATCAAAAAGTGGGTGAAGCATATGAACAGACACTTCTCAAAAGAAGACATTTATGCAGCCAACAAACATATAAATAGAAAACTCATCATCACCACTGGTCATTAGGGAAATGCAAATTAAAACCACAATGAGATACCATCTCACGTCAGTTAGAATAGCGATCATTAAAAAATCAGGAAACAACAGATGATGGAGAGGATGTGGAGAAATAGGAACTCTTTTTTACTATTGGTGGGAGTGTAAATTAGTTCAAACATTATGGAAGACAGTGTGGCAATTCTTCAAGGATCTAGAACCATTTTACCCAGCAATCCCATTACTGGGTGTATACCCAAAGGATTATAAATTATTCTTCTATAAAGACACATGCACACATGTTTATTGCAGTAGTATTCACAATAGCAAAGACTTGGAACCAACCCAAGTGCCCATCAATGATAGACTGGATAAAGAAAATGTGGCACATATACACCATGGAATACTATGCAGCCATAAAAAGAATGAGGTCATGTCCTTGGTAGGGACATGGATGAAG